CAATCCTCCCACCTTGGCCTCCCAAAGTGCTGGATTACAGGCATGAGCCACCATACCCAGCCTATGAACTCTTTTCTATTAATACTTTGCATATATATGTAGCATTATGGATTAATGAATTCTCTTTCCGCACACCAGTGTGTTATGATTCATTCTTGTCACTATTCATTTCAAATTTGGCCAACAGACATCTACCCCCCCAAGCTCACTCTTAAACCCTCCCAACACACTTGTGCTGGTTCAGGGAACTTCTTTCCTTTCTGCCTCGTGTTCCAGATTTACCTTCTTTCTTCTGCCCTAGGACTAGAATCAGCCACTTCTTCAAGCAGCCTGAGCTCCTCTTTTTTATTTATTTTTTTAAGACAGAGTCTTGCTCTACTGTCACAGGTAGAGTGCAGTGTTACCATCATAGCTCACTGCAATCTCAAACTCCTGGGTGTAAGTGATCCTCCTGCTGTAGTCTCCTGAGTAGCTGGAACTACAGGTGTGCACCATCACACCCAGCTAATTTTTCATGGAGACGGAGTCTTGCTCTTGCTCGGGCTGGTCTCCAACCCAAGCTCAAGCAATCTACCTGCTTCAGCCTCCCAGAGTGCTAAGATTACAGGCATGAGCCACTGTGCCCAGCCTTGAACTCCTCTTAATGGGGAAATGATACTTAGAAACCATCTCATGGTCAGGTGTGCTCGGCGCTTTGGGTTGTCACTACTTCTAGGCCCTTTCTGTGGCCAGAGCTACATGCTTAATTACAACAACTTTATAGCAAGTTTTGGCATTTGTACCCTCTTTTTCACGAGTATTTTAACTAATCTTGGTCCTTCACTCATCTATGAATTCTAGTCACCTTGCTATATAAGAAAAAAACTGCTGAATTTTGACTAGAATTTCAATGATTACTAAGAGCAACTTTGAGTCTCCCTTTCCAAGAATATATAATATCAAAAAACCCCTACTCAGGTTTTAAAATTTTCTGCATACAGATCTTGCCTGTCTTAAGATTTATTCCTAGACACTGTACAGGTTTCTTTTTTGCTACTGTAAACAGTAATTACATTTTATTAACTAATTGTTGATTTAACATAATGAATAGTGATTTTTACATTTTGATCCCATCTCATCTGCCAATAACAACAGTTTTATTTCTGCCCTTTTCATCCTTATTCTTTAGGACCACCCCTCCACTTCAGTGCTGGCTAGGGTATCCAATGCCACACTGAAAAGAAATGGTGACCATGAAGGTAACGTGGACTAAATACGAACACTGACAATACAGGCAAGAACATAAATCCATACAACCACTTTGAAAAAAACGTATGTGCATCTGTACAGAATTCAGCCTTATCTTGCAGAACTGGACCCCAGCATACAGCCTCGGGTACAGATGCTGGCATGTGTCTCCCGTAACACATGGTCAAAGGTGTTCACAGAAGCACTGTCCCTTAAAAGCAAAATGCCAAGAACAATTCATGGCTCCTCAATCACAGAGTAACTGAACTGTTATGAAGCCATGACAGACTATTAAACAGCAAGGAAAACCAATGAACTACAGCTGCATCAACACAGAATTTCAGGAATATGCTGGGTCAAAAAAAGTTACACAATACATACAGTATGACTACATGCTATTCACAAATGTCACAAATGTGTAAGATATACATAGCAGAGACTCAAGATCCATTTGTAACTGATGGCATGTCTCATGGCAACATCTTTCTCTTTAGTGGGAAATAAAATACACAAAAAACAAAGTGCCCTCACTCTCACAGTGAGGGTCGAAAGCTTCCTTTGTAGCATGCCTTGTCCTAAGCAGACTGCCAGCAAACTAGGTGGTGGTGAAGCCCAGGGAGGGATCACTGCAAGTCACTCAGGAGAGTGCCCACTGGCAAAGGTGAGGAGCTGTCCCCTACGGCTCTGACAGATTGTGACTCTGGAAAATCAGACATCTTGTCCAGCAAAATCAGGAATCCAAAGGAAAGTGAGGCCAATGGCTAAGAAAACAGAGACCTGTGTGCTGCTTGTGCCCACCTGTCCGAGACATGCCAGGGACTGTCATGGTGGGATAAGTCACTTTACTACTATTTGTAGTTCTGAACATTTGATACTTTCCCCCTCATGAAGCCCAAAGATACCCGTTTGGGCTTGGGGATGAAAAACTGGGGGACTGGGCCAGGTACTGGCAAATGCTTTCCATTTTGATTTGTGAAAAGTTTCAATATAAATGTGGGGACTGAGCATCAATGCAAATAAAAATTTTCATGAACTTTTCAGCAATTCATACTTAAATGATTAGCAATAAAACTGTCAAGTGTTTCTACATAAAATCATTATTTAGATGTTGAAAAATACAAATTTCTTGTGGAATGACAGAGAAACAAAAACTTAAACATAGGCAAGCACGGGCCTGGTGGAGACACTGCTGACACCTTACAGCTTACATAAGTTCCCTGCTCATAATAAAAAGATTATGGCAGCCAGTCACCCACCCGCAGCTGCAGGGCCTTCCCCCTGGCCTGGGTTCCATGCAAAGACGTCACTCTCCCCTGCCCCAAACCACACCAGCCACACGAGGCTGACCAAAAGCGGCTGTGCTCCAAGGGAGTGTTCTCTGGTGAGGGTCATCAGTAGGGGTAGCCTGGAACTACTTTTGAGGTAACTGGAAGGAGAGTTAAAACAGGTCTTGCCTGGCAGTCCACTCAGTTTTGATAAAAACTTGTCTATACAAAGTTCTTTACCAACACAGCTAATTTTAGTTTATTCTTGCCATTTCTGGCTTTCAATCTATTGTCTCAACCAGATTTTGGAAAGTTGGAAACATGTGGGGAAGGTTCCTGACAGCTGAAAGCCATGGAGGTGGTCTTGCTCCTTTCTCTGGGAGCAGACAGATGCTGTGCAGCATGGCCCAGGGGCTAGAAGGCTCAAGTTCAAGTTTGTGTTATTTAACTTACTTAGCCCTCTGCCTCAGTTTTCCCATTTGTAACATGAGGCTGAAGACCCCAGCACCCACTGCATGGGACTGTGGCAGGCAGGGACTTACGTGTGTTTTTTCAATGCCAACTCCTCCCCTAGGCAGCTGTGCTGCCACCATCATCCAGAAGTTTCCAGATTAATCCTGTACTACAACAAGCTACAGAGAACGGATTACAGTCGCTTGGCTTTGCGCTTTCCCGCAAAGCGGCCTGTATCAGTCAAACGCAAGATCAGGACTTAGCACTGCTACTTGGTTCTCACATGAAAGGAAGAAAAACCACAACCAGAGGTGCTTGCTATCCTTTTCGGAGACAACGGAACAACCCGCATCCACCCACAGGAGACGCTCTGCCAACACGGGACAACAGCAAAGCCTGGTGGTCTCTGGGCAAAGCGGATCCTGTAACCCGCAAGCCCCAGTCTGTTGCAGAAGGAATTCAGAGAACACCAGATGCAGTATGCGCCCCGCACTCCTAGACACCTTTATATCTTCCCAGCGTCCGCCAAGTTGCATCTGAAACAGGAGTGAACCCAACCAACCACATCTGGGGAATGGCCAGAGTCGTGGCTTTGCAGGCAAAGCCTAGAGAGGAGAAAGCCCACTTCTAAAAGCCTGTTTGGTTTCCAAGATCCTACAGAAGGGGCACTGACAAGAACGGAGAGCAGGGATGCTTCATATTCTACACTAGGGTCCACCAAGGGAGGACTGCCACAACTGGTGTGCCCGGAGGTGACACTAACATCTAGGACGGTGCTTAACATCCTAGGGTGAGGGGACAGCTCCACACCAGATGCTAATGGTGCTGAGGCTGAGAAACTCTGCTCCAAACACACTCTTGCCCTTGAGAAGCCTGTCCTTTACAAAGGGCCACCAGAGTGCAAGCCCGCAGGGCAGGGTCTCTGCTGACCTTTTCTTGGTCAGTGGAGCAGTTTGCATCCCTGCAGCCTCCTCTGGTCACCTCTCTCATAAAGGGTCCCACAGGACCATTTCTGCTGTTGTGGGATGCATATGCTGACAGATACTTTTGTGTTACATAAACCTAGAAATGTCAGTTTCTAGTAGTAGATGGATTAAATTGCTTTTGTTGAGGGAAGATGTCAAGACGTCAAATCAACAGCCCTCCCTTTCTGCTGACAAAACTAACACAGGCACTGAAGAACTGCCTTCCCCTGGTGGAGTGCTGAGGGAGTTTCCTTCCACCCTCCAACTACAGGAGTACCAACCAGGCCAGAAGGGTTCCACAGAGGAAGAGGCCCTGCCACTCTGCAGACACAAAGCCTTGTTCCTAACGGGGGCTCCCGTATACAGGCAGAGGCTCTGCTGGGAGACCCATCCTTCACAGCACTGAAATCTCCACATATAATTCCCTCTTGTTCCATCAAACTACCTGAAAGTGCAGAGAGTCCTAAAATTTAGACTCTGAGATCAGAAAAGGAGTGCTCTGGTTCCTCACCAGGCCCGCAGCCTGACATTGGGTACCCAAACCCTGCTGAGGTTTCACGAAACTAAGACAGGGACAGAGGTGGAAGAGGTCATGGCAGTCACCAAATTCAAAATCCTTGTTTCACTCAGGAGTAAACTTGAGCCCTCAGAGTTTGAAGGACTCCCCAAGAGCTGTAAGAAAAATGTGTGACTGAGCAGAGGCCACACACAAGGGCCAACATAAGGAAGGTCCTGGGTGTGACCTAGGACAATACCACAGGACAGTCATGGCTGACCGGAGGGGCACGTGCCACCATCAGGAACCTGCAGTTATTCTACAATTCACACAAACCATTTGACTTTAAGGACACACTTACCTAATATGAAGCTAAGGAAGGCAGCTTTTAAGCAAAAGCACCAGATTATTTCTTTTTATTGAGTGAGGCCCTCTGTTAACCAAGCATCTGATGAAGCCATAGGACTTGGTCAAGGGTGTGGAGAAATATTTTCCTCCCTCTTCCCCAAAATAAACCGGAGACTTTAATTCATAACCTACTCTCCCTTATCAAACAAAACCTTGGTTTTCTTTTCTAACAGGTAAAAGACATACCTCCTCCCTGCATCATTTTGTAGATTTTGCTCTCAATGTGGAGCTGAGGATGTTTGGTCTTGACACATTCAAGCTTGATGGCAACTTCTTCTCCTGCAGCAATGTCCGTACCTTGGCAAAGAAAGAAAGCCACAATCATGAATTATCCGTGTCCACCACCTGACCCAACATTGCACCAGGCCAGGCAAACAGCAAGTACTCTGTGAATTTTCCAAGAAGGACTAAATAACGGAAGCTCTCTAGTTTCTATCATAACATAGTTATCATCAGCTGACAAATCTCCGTGGGAAATGACCCTCATTTTCACTCACGACAGGAAGCATTTGGAAGGTACAGAAAGTCTACCTGGGATTCCACCGCCACTACTGCCATCAGTCCCCAGGCTCCCTCTGCAGGCTGCCTTCATGGTCCGCTCACTCCTGCCAGTCCTGCCCATGGCCCCTGCACTCACCAGCCCAGGGAGAACATGGCAGATTTCCTGGGTGACTGTGTCCCTACTTCTCTGCACTACCTCCATGGGCCTACAGGGTGTATCTGAGTTTCCCTCTTGAAGGAGGCTGGGTTTTTAGCAAGCAGCCACAGCCCCAGTCCATCCAGACCTGGCATCAAGCCACACACTCTCCTATCAGTCTCCACACAGCTGCAGGAGTCACCTCTAGATGACCCACCACACGCCTGCCAAAGACCCTCCACCAGGCCAAGGGATGCCCCTTTCCCTTCCTGGGGACATGAGACAGAAGAATAGCCTCTGTCTTCAAAGCCTTAATACACCACTCATGCAAAACACACTGGGCACATACCTTCTGTCATCTGCTAACACTATGAGGGTCAGCCTACGAGCTTGGAAGCAAAACTACACTTATCTAGAAATGTTCTATCTCTGCTTTACTCCAATAAGGAACTACAAAACTGACAACTGCCACCCCTCCAGTATCCACACATAGACTCCCAAGTCTCAATCTGGCCCAAAGCTGCATCCAAGATCTCCCCCATCCCCGTCTGCCACCCAAGACTTTGGCTGGAGATAACACAGCACATACCTAGCTCTCCTCTCCCTTCACAGGTTCCTTCCAAGCATAAAACACTTTAATCCTTTTCAGTAGTGGGGCTTTCTGCAAAGGAATTAACACTGGCTCCAGGAGCCCCTGAGAGACTGTGCTGGGCAAAGCAAGCCTTTTAGTCCTTGGTGACTCAGTTTCTCTCATCGACTGAGAACAGTGGGAAGGCCTACTGTCCGCTTCACCAGGGACTTGTGGAGGTGAGTGGGTTACTGGTTACGCAACACTCTGAGATTCCCAGATGGAAGGCAGAGGAAGGTCAGTGAGCACTGGAACAGACTGATACCCACACATGCCCAGGGAACACCCAAGAACAAGAGAAGCAGCCACCTTTAGCCTGCTCAATGGCTGCATGAGATCCACTGCCTCCCGCAAGCCTGGATCCAAAACCAACAGCTAATGTTGCAATTCCACAGGAATAACCAGCATCTGATCACTGCCAGTGACCATTCTAGATTTAAGAATCTCATTTACCATTCAACAAAGATTCTCTGGGGCACTCAAAAGCAAGACAAGTGGCCAGGTACAGTGGCTCATGCCAGTAATACTAGCATTCTGGGAGGCCAAGGCAGGAGGATTGCTTGAGGCAAGGAGTTTGAGACCAGCCTGAGCAAGAGCAAGACCCCGTCTCTACAAAAAAAAAAAAAAAAATAGCTGGGTGGGGTGGCGCACACCTGTAGTCCCAGCTACTTGAGAGGCTGAGGCAGGTGGATCACTTGAGACCAGGAGTTTGAGGTTGCTGTGAGCTACAATGACACCACCACTGCACTCCAGCCTGGGCAACAGAGAAAAATTCTGTCTCAAAACAAAACAAAAGACAGGTAATACATTTTGTTCTTCCTGCCTATAGTTGGAACAATCTATCCAATTACAAGAGAAATGACTTCATCGTAAAACGTACTGTGCAAATGAAAAATGAACTGAGTTCCCTTAAGGACCTGGACTCTGAACTGAATGCGCCAGCCAGGAGGGACGGTGACTCATCTCACTAGCTACGTCATCAACTCCCTGCGCCCCAAAGCAGGGGCATCACAGCCCCCGGCACCCCAAAGCATGAGAAGCACAGCCTCTGCTGACAGCAACTCCACCCTCGCCAGCTGGCAGGTCCAGCGACGGGACAGCACAGGGCCACACAGCCTGCTAGACTGGCATCTTCGAGAATGCAGAGAACAACTCTAACTCTACTTTTCTGTGGCTGATAAAGCAGCAGTCTTGGAGCAAACGACCACTGGCAACTCTGGAACACAGTATGGATTAAATCCTATCATGGAAACAAGACCCTATGCTGTGCCAGCAACATTTTCATCTAACATTACAAAAGTTTTAGTATGCAACAGATTGGAAACTACAAAACCTGATTCTTCACCATAGGTAAGTCTGGAAAGCACTCCTAGAAAAAGAACAAGCACTTACTGATACCACTGAGCTCTAAGTTCCAGATACAGAACAAGTCAAAACCCAGTGGCATGCAGATGTTGACCAGGTGTCAACTAAGGACGTTCCATCCCCTGAGCCACCTCTACTCTCCTAGTCTGCTGTGAGACAGTGATTCCCTCGCTAGGCACAGATGTTAGTCTGTGTTTAGACACAGGTTAATGTCAGTCCCAGGAAAAGAAAACCATGCCCCCAAGTTGAGCAGACAAAAGCAGATGGCAAATTAAGTGAATCTAATCCAGAGTGTGACCCTGTCCTGGGACAGGAGGGTCATTCCTACTGAGGACTGTCTTATCAACAGAAAAATAGGAAGACACCTTGAACAGCAGGGCAAAGGTCATCTCCCAGGACAACATTTAGCAAGGCAGCATGGAGCAGTATCATGACTTCTCATCACAAACCCTTGAGTCAAACACGGATTCCAAGGTAAACAGAAGCCACAGCCCTGAACACTGCAGGGAGATGACTCTGGAAGCTGCAGCAACAATAGGGGACTGTTTTCTCTCAGCCAGCTGGCATTTTGGGGCCCTACTGTGTGCCAGACACCCTGCAGGGTTGTCTCCCAAGAAATCTAAATCAGTAAGGGAAAAAAAAGTTGAAAGTCAGCAATGAAGCAGTTACTGAAGTTTAGCTCCCCAAAGATACTTGTGCACATTATGGAGTCAGACTGCACAGTCCACTCAGGCAGCAGGCAGGCACGTGGAGGTCCTCACAAGCTGGTGGGGTGCAGCACAGCTGCAAGAAAACCTCCATTCTACCAATCAGACCCCCATACCCTTGCCTCTAGGAGACAAATGGATGGGAACAGAGGCCACTCCAGCTTGTCACCCCGCTCTACAGCCCTCCTTCTCTCAGACACCCTCATCGCTCTGGGGTGGCAACACATGATCCACAATAAGCAGACTGGCTGTTTTCAAATGTTATCAAGTTTAAAGTGGTACACTGCCAGCAAAAGTAAAACGACTTCTGGCTTCCATGACCTCAGAAAACATACAGCCTCCAGAGCGATGGCCTCTCCAGACCGGCAACACTGCCCTTATCCTGCCCGCAGCACGACCCTCAACAGGCAGTGTGAGCAGGGCCACCTGCCTGCCTGCCCTCCTGAGCACCTTCCAGATCCGGAAGCTCAGACCAAGGACTGAGAGTGGACTTTTTGGGTCCCCCAGTTGCCCAAGTCTGATACAGATACTTTCTGAAGCCTGGGAATTTGAGAGACAGTCCCAACATTCTTCAGTATGACTGAAGGGGCAACTGTGGGAAGGATGTGAATGAGAACGTGGCTGGGCACAGCACGGAAGGCTGCCAGGGAAGGCAGGCCCACTGCCTTCTCAGGCCACCAAGGCTAGCAAACTGAACACCAGCCTTTCTCCATTCCCAGTTTCAAACATCTGAAAGCACAGAAAGTCCCAGGTGGAAATCCAAAACCCCAAATGCTAGTCTCCAAATAAGGTGAACCCTACCTGGACTACAGGAGAGTAATGCCAGTGATGACAACAGGGATGGTTTTTATTACACTCAAATGAGAACATACATGACATACAGGTGTCAAGATGAGGATTCAATCCCTCAACTTCCAACCAGTTGCCCAAATGGAAGAAACTATGGCAGGGATGATTGCTGCACGGTAGGTAGTCTGCAGGTCAGCCACCCTTGCCTCTAACTGTGACGCTCCTCAGACCCACCTTCCGAGCCTGTCTTACTGGAGCACTCAAATTTCACTTCACCAGTGGGGCAGCGTCAAAGGACTGCAGTGTGGGCCAGGAACCAACACTGACGGGAAAAACTCAGCAGTGCCCAATCCCACGCAAATAACTAGAAACTTGCCCCAGTGGACGGGCCGTCTGGGCACTCCAGCTCCAGGCAGCACATCCACAGCCCGTCCGTCCACCTGAGAACAGCTCCATCCCCAATCGTTCCAAGTGCCTACTCTGTGCCCAGCATGGGAAAGCCCACAGGATGCCAGTGAGCAAGAAGGCTGCACCCCATCTTCCATCTTGTGAACTAGGTGACAACGACACAATGTGGATGTCTGAATCTATCTTCTGAAAGCACAAAGCTATCTGGCAGGGTCTCACAGAGAGTAAAAAGTTTCAAACTATCTACCTTTTGATGCCTGCGTAAGGGTGGGTAATGGATTTGACTTTTCAGTTTAGCTCCTAGATCTTGGGGTTAAAACTTTTGCCAAAATCTATCATTCTATAAATATTAACCAAACAACTTCCATTTACCCAACACTTTGACTCCTAGAACAACACATCTGCTGATTACCCGGATACAAACGTTTAAACAGAGAAACCCAAATGTCTCTAAAGCGCATTTTACTCAGCAGGCCATTAAGGCAGAAGTACAGGTTCAAAGGCAACAACATGGCATGTGATGGGGTCACCCTGAAGGTTAACCAGGCACCAGAAGTACCTATGATTCATCCTAGATTCACCCTAACATTGCCAGCCCACAGGCCAAGCCCTCCCTCAGGTGAGAAGAGGAAGGGTGTGTGGGGCACATTCACACTGGGGATGATCTGACAGACGAAGAGTGTGATTCCTGACCCCCACCCTGGCACACCAGCCACACACACACTGAAGCTAGGGCTGCTCACAACAGGACACATTTGCGCCAAGGTACGCCACCCTGCAGGCTACAACTTCTCAAGTTCAAGGTGTCTGGAAACCTTATGAACACCACAATTCCACTGAGATGTGGAAAATTAAGTTGTTTTAAAATTCCCAGCTTGAACATTTAAATCAAACTTTGTGACAGTGTGTGTGCATGTGCATGTTCTTTCGCTGTAAGTCTGACACAACTCAGAACATTCTAACCTCAAATGCTTTCTCAAGTCTACCTTAAAATCTTAATAGTCAAAAGGACAGCTCAAGAGTAGAACTTCTCTACTTCATTTGCCGTTAATTTTGCCCACATCAACATCATAACACTACCTGACTTTGCAAATCTACATTCACCTAGATTTAGCCCTTGGGTACGTCCAGGTACCAGCTAGACAACTTGGATGCTCCACATGTACTCAGTGGCCCCTGCAAGGCAGAAGGGCTCTGAACAGATCCGGAGCCATCCGTGTCCTGGATCAAAGAGGACGTTTTCGATTTTTCTTCAGGACTCAGGTCGCAGGGCCTGATGACCCGGGTTAGTGAACAGGGTAGTTAGCCAGAAATGCCACTGTCGCCAAGGGCAGCAGCAGAAACCTAAAGGAGCACTCAGAACGTGGCCCCAGCATTTCCCCATTTCTGACTGGGACACTCCCCACCTCCACCTCGCAATGGGGTTGTTTTGACATCTTCCCCCACGTGTGCAAGACGCAGGACAGCCTGCGAGGGGGGGGGGCCACCGCCAGCACCAGACCGGGCCGCGGAGGAAAGAGGCTGGCCTTTGTTTGTGCCGGTGACCTTAGGCGTGGGGAGGAAGCCGCCTCCCGCCCCGCCGCCCGGGCCCTACCCCCCTCCGGCCCTCACTGGGCCCCGCTGGCCCCCGCCCCGGCCTCTCCCCTCCCCCAGGCCCTGCCCCTCCGGGCCGCCCCAGGCCCCGCTCTCCCCCGCCCGCCTCAGACCCTGCCCCCCGGCCCTGTCCCTCCCCGACCCTGTCCCTCCCCGACCCTGTCCCCGACCCGGCGCTGCCCCTCCCCGGGCCCGCAGCCCCCTGGCCGCGCTGGCCGAGTGGCCGTTGGCTTGTGGCCACAACCCGCGGCGGCGGAGCCTGCGGGCGCCCCGAGCCCGCCCCCGCCCAGCGCCGGCCTCCGGCGCGCAGACCCCGAGGGGGCCGCCACTTCCTTCCACGGGCGCTCGCGCTCGGCTCGGCGGCCGGGGCCGGGGTCCTCGAACGGCCGGGCGGGGCCGGGAGGGCGGCCGGCGGGCCGGGGCGGGGAGGGCGCGGGCGGCCGAGGGGCCTCACCGAGATAGATGTCTCCGAAGGAGCCGCTGCCGATCTTCCGGCCCAGCCGGTACCTGTTCCCGACCCTCAGCTCCATGGCGGCGCGGCCCGGCTCGCTCCTGCCCTCCCGGCCGCTTCCTGGGTCTGAGCTCCGGGAGGCGGCGCCGCTGCTGCCGCTACTGCGGGTCCGGCTGCCGGCTCCGCCCCCCTCACGGCCCCAATTTCACCATCGCTTTCCGGCCACCCCGCCGCTCCCAGCGCCTCAATACGGGGCGGATGGGACAGTCCGAGCGCCGCCGCCCCTGCTCCGGGCCCTGCCGGCCCCGGTCGCCCTCTCCCCGCCGCGGATGGACTCGGATCTTCCGGGCCTAAATCCCCCTTCAGCTGCCTGAAGGAGCCGCCGCCATGGCGCTGTGACGTCACTTCCCCTAGCAACCCGGAGGGGCGGGGCCGGCGCTGGAGGCGGGGCGGGGCCGGCGGGCGGGGCCCTCCAGGTCGGGTACCGACGTCCGCGGGCCCCGGGCGCGGGTACCCTCGCGGGAGCCGCCGGTTCCGGGCTCGGGGCGTCCCGGGACGTCTGCGCCTGCGGCCTCCGCTGCCCGCCAGCCTCTCTCCCGGCCCTGGGGCCTGGCGGCCGGCGGGAGCCGCCGTGGGAGCCGCGGAGCCCGCAGAGGGCAGGCCCAGCCCGGAGACCGGGGCCGCGTCGGTGTGGAGTCCGTTGGAGCCGAACGTCCGTCCCTGCGGAGAAGCTGGAGGCTGGTGGCCTCCGCGGTCTGGCCTCCGTCCCCGCGCGGGGAGGAGCCCTCGGAGATGCACCCGCGGGGCGCCCCGTCCCGCGCCGGCGCCTCCCGGGGCGCGGCCCGCCCGCCGAAACGGAGGACGGAGCAGCCGGACGGCGTTTCGGGGCCTCGCCTGCAGGGCGCTCCGCCGGTGCGGAGGCGCGAGACGGCGGGGTCTCTGCCTGGCGCTGCAGGAGGGGCGAGCAGCTGCGCAGCCTGGCGAGGCACCGGCCCGGCCTCTCCACTCCCGCGCCTTCCCGCCCGCCTCCCAGCCTCAGTGGTGCAGCCGCTGCCCCCAGATAGCTGGAGGCCGGGCCAGGGGGCCAGGCGTCGGTTCCCGAGCTCACACTGCAGTACCTGGGGCCGGGAGGTGCCACAAGCAGCCGCCATCGCTGGCTGAGCGGTGGGCATTTGGGAACCACCCGCTCGCTCAGTCTTAACTGGGGTCACAGGGGGATTTTGCCAAACTAGTAAAAATAACCTTGTTGGCACAATTGCTCCTGGCCTTTCTGTTGATGAGCAAAGCCCAGCTTTCCTGCTGGAGAGAACCACATGTGTGAGCTGGAAGCAGAAGGGCCCTGCTGCCCACTGCCCGGATGGCCGACTGGCCTCTCCCCAAGCAGCCCCAGCCTCAGGCCAGTGACCCCTCTCAGGCCTCAGTGCCCTCTCTTGGAAAGGAAGTTGCAGCGGGTGGGGCGCTCCCAGGGCCTGGGTTCTGCCTGTTTACTCTTATAATTGGTCCAGATGATCAGCAGGCACAAGGACCAAAGTTCTTGTGTCACTCGGTGGCCACAATGGCTGTCATGAGGCAGCGCCCTGGAGGCCCAGGCAGGAGCCATGCTAAGGGCCACTCACGGGGACCTGTTATCCCAGCACCTCACTGCAGGTGGGATGCCTCTGTGCCCCACAGTCCTATACCCGCACACGCATAGAGACCCCGCTGAGCACAACACAGCCGCCCCACACTCCCCCCTCCAAAAAGAGGGCCCCTCTCTGCGCACAGACGCCCCCCTCACACTCCGCTCCCACACACACACGACACCGAGAAAAGACACAAAACAACAGCCCCACACACAAAAAACACCACAACAAAACCACACACAGGGTGTGTTCCTGTTGTTGGCAAAGGCTTGTCAGCCACCCAGCTATGGGACTCCCAGTGATGCCCACGCCTGTGCCGGCACACAGCAGGCACTTGATAAACGCTGGCTCCGCAAACGGCTGGCGCTGGGTGGTGCCCAACTCCCGGTGGGGCCTAAGGCCAGGCCAGCCGCAAACAGAACAGTGGGGTGCACACCCTGCCTGCAGAGCCGGGGCTGCTAGGCCCACTCCCAGGCCCACCCTTCCTGGCAAGGTGCCGGCCTGGCCTTCTCCTCCCTCAAAACTCACTCATGCCCAGGACTCCCCAGGTGTATTCTGGGCTGGGCTCTGTGCATTGTTTATTTACTTACTGCTTACTTACTTCCTAATCTTCAGAGCCTGCGAAAGATGTTTTCTTTTTTTCTTTTCGTTTTGCTTTTTGAGACAAATTCTGTGTCACCTGGGCTGGAGAGCAGTGGTGTCATCACAGCTCCCTGAAGCCTCACGCTCCTGGACTCAAGGGATCCTCTTGCCTCAACTTCCCCAGTAGCTGGGACTGCAAATGCCAATTTGGCTAATTTTTCTACTTTTTGTAGACATCAAGTCTCTCGTTCTTGCCCAGGCTGGTCTCTAACTCCTGGGCTCCAGTGACCCTCCTGCCTTGGCCTCCCAAAGTGCTGGATTACAGGAGGGAGCCACCACGCCCGCCCGGTCCTAAAAGGTTTTTTGTTTTGTTTTGTTTTGTTTTGTTTTTTAACAACCCGCTCTCCTGGGAACTAACAGGAAGGAAAACTCATCACCAGGAGGGCACGGGGCCATTCCTGAGGCATCTGCCCCCATGACCCAAATGCCTCCCACTAGGCCTCCCCTCCAACACTGGGGATCAAATTTCAGCATGAGGTTCAGAGGGGACAAACATCCAAACTGCAGCAATGGGAAAAAGGAAGTTTTACAAATTGTCATTCAGAAAGAAGCTGCTGTCGTAACAAAGGCAAGGCACTGGACTGGCCCTGGCTGTGCTGTGGTCTGTGTCCCCCAGAAACCAGCGTGGGACGCTTCATCCCCGTGCAGCAGTGGGGGGGGGCCTTTTGGCAGAGGCCTGTGAGTGATTAATGCTGACTGTCACAGCTGTTTCCACCACACCCCCACCGTCCCTTTGCCACGTGAGGACACGGCGTTTGTTCCTGCCCTCCAGAGGCCAGGGCAGCCAGGTGCCCAGGTGGAAGGAGAGACCCCTCACCACACAGTGAACATCTTGGACTTCTCAGCCTCCAGAACGGTGAGAAATCTGTTCTTTAGAGATTACCCAGTCTCAGGTTCTTTGTTGCACAGCACGAAAGGACTAAGACAGGCTCCTGTGGAAGCCGTGGAGGAACATCTTCAGATAGCCGGGCTGGCCTGCCAGGACTCTCGCCTGGTGGGGCCTGCGGTACGTGAGGATCCAGAGCACCACGCTAGGAGCCCAGCCGGGAAGGCCTCAGGGAGGCCTCTTCATGAGCAACAGATGAAGCAGAACCTCAATCTCAAACAGGGAGGCACAGGGGACAGGACACGTGGTGAGCCCTCTGCCAGCGCTGTGTGTGTGTGCTTGCACATGTGCACAGCTACACAGGCGTGTATACTGTGTGTGATACGTGTTAGAATTTGCACATGCTCATATCTGCATATGCACACACAGGTGCATGTCCTGTATGTGTATGTGTGCATTCATGTGTAATGTGTTATGTAGGTGTGCACGTATGTGTGTACATATAAGCACTGGTGTGCATGTGTCAGTGTATGCACAGGTGTCCATGTGTGCATGCACTTGGTGTGTGCACTTGCATGCATGTGCAGCTATAGGGGAGAATAGCCGATGATCACCTCTCTGGGACTGAGAGAGGTAGCCTGGCGAGGCACCGGCCTGGCCTCTCCACTCCCGCGCCTTCCTGCCCACCTCCCAGCCTCAGTGGTGCAGCCGCTGCCCCCAGATAGCCGGAGGCCGGGCCAGGGAGCCAGGCATCGGTTCCCGAGGTCACACTGCAGTACCTGGGGCCGGGACGTGCCACAAGCAGCCACAAGCAGGTGATCTCTGGATCACCACGCTCTCTGGGGAGAATGAGGGTCACACAGGGATGCCTGGCGTGGAAAGTGCTGCTGTAGGGAGTCGTTCTGCCTGCGGGAAGCTGAGTGCGGGGAGTAGGGGAGTAACGTCTTCTCAGAGCCCCATCAGAAGTGGGGAAGTGGCCGGGCGTGGTGCCTCACACCTGTAATCCCGGCACTCTGGGAGGCTGAGGCGGGAGGATCGCTCAAGGTCAGGAGTTCGAGACCAGCCTGAGCAAGAGCCAGATCCTGTCTCTACTAAAAATAAAAATAAATGAATTGGCCAACTAAAAAAAAATATATAGAAAAAATTAGCCGGGCATGGTGGTGTGTGCCTGTAGTCCCAGCTACTCGGGGGGCTGAGGCAGGAGGATTGCTTGAGCCCAGGAGTTGGAGGTTGCTGTGAGCTAGGCTGACGCCACGGCACTCTAGCCTGGGCAACAGAGCGAGACTCTGAAGACATGAGAGAAGAAAATGAACACACAGACGTATTATGAGTGCATGAGCTAGCAACACATTAGAGCACAAACACAAAAGGGCACAATGAAATCTGTCAATAAAAAGAAAAAATGTAAACAAATCCAGTTGGCCAGTAATATTCCGGATTTAGAGTTCAGGCGAAGCGGG